GTGTATTAAACATGCAATGTATTCATAACCAACACATCAAAACACAACCATACATCATATTTCAAGCAACTTAAGCTAGCAAGCTATATACATCAAGTTCATCAAAGTGTAAGCAACATAGCAATTAGGTCATAACATGGCATTAGCACAAAGCATATATCAGCATCACAAATATCATATCATCATCAAGCACAAGTAATGACATGGTCATCCTAAAGTGAATCAAATCACCATCTACGGATTGAAATTCTCAAGAACCCACCTAAACACCACACATAACAAGCAATTAACAAATAAAGTATATGTTTCAAAAATATTATTTTATTCTAACTTTTATATTATTTTTTTATAGTTTCCCAGCACGACCCCCGTTCAATGTTTTAAGCATAAAACCGAATCTACAACTCTAATTGGGATGAAATCGGACTTTCTGGAAACTAGACTCGATTTCCTAAAACTTCATGAGAGTGGAGCATCATCCAATTCTACCCAGATTAGCAGCTATAGCTCTCGCGAGTTGGGGCAAAGTAGTTGTGCATAATTATAATATTTGCCTAAACCAACAGACACATATACAATATATATCACTAAGTGATTCCAAGTTTATGAGTTACACGATCATAAAATTTTCATATTTACGATTCACCATTGTTTCTCTACTTTATCATTATAATTATTCTAAACTTAACACCAATTTGATAACCCAACTTCATTGTCGTAATTAGATAAATATCTCATATTTTCGTAATATGTAAAATAATCTAAATAATTAAGTGATTTGGAGGAACTACCATCTAATTAAATTCACGAGAATGTCAATGTGAAGTTTGCATGGTAGTAATCAACCACATTTCTTGGCTATTTTTATTTTTTTTCCTTTATGCATGGTTTAATAATTAGCAAGTAATTTTAATACTCTCTTTTATATGTATATTTCATTAGACGTCAATGTGTGGATCTAGCAAATTATATACCAAATCTACTAACCATAGGATGGTGTGTTCATAAAGTGGATTACCAAGCCCCATCTTTTTTTTACCATGCATTCATGAAGTTCTGTTTTTATTCCAGTTAACAAACAAGTATTGGAAACTAGAGCCACAAGTTGGAGATGGCTACAAAAATCTTATCGAGCACCATTCTATTTTGCAACACAATAATAACATATATACGTAACACCTAGTTAAATATACGCATAAATGGGAAACTGGTAGTAGCTCTTTAATTAATATTAGCCACCTTCGCTTAGTCCCAAAAACATGATGGCATAACCTGCAACCTTTAGACCCTCATATATGAATTCAACGTCCATCTCAAACTAACACATTCTCCACATATCTTATCTCAATATGATCTGATCACCATGGCTCTCATCACCGGGGAAAAAGAGAGTTCAATCCATGAAGCCGACCTCATGAAAAGCAACAAGACCGGCATGAGACCCATATGTTATACCCATCAACTTCAATGCACCTCTTGTCTCTAGCCCTTCTGTTTCACCGCCTCCCTCAAGCCGTATCAACATCTCGTTGTCCTCATCCCTCGAAGTCGTCGCTATCTAGCAGCCTAACAGGAGCGAGCTGCAAGTCCTTTTGATACGCCCTTAACAGCCCAAACGAAAAGAAACGCTCGTAGGGTTTAAAAATCTCGTCGATTTGGTTGCAGTGGGGGGTTATGGGGCCTTATGATCGAGAATTTAATTCATTCGTATGGGCTTTAATTTGTTTTTGTAGCAAGCTCCGCAAGTAAATGTTAAATTCGTTCATATGGATTTTAAAGCACAAGTTACCATTTTGGTCCCTTGAAATTCCTTTCTTGATCACAATATACCTTCCACAATAATTTGATTTTATTTAAACCTTTTAATCGATTATACTTACCATCATTTCCCCCAAAAATTACTTAATTAAATTATATACCCGCAAAATATCAATTACTTCTTTTAGATATTAAATAATACTATTTTTAGTTAATTTATTTCATTTTAACCTCATAAAACTATAAAATATTTTGCATAAATAGTTCCTCGAATAACGGAAAAACTAACGTCGTTTACGGTAGGATTTTCGGGTCGTTACAATGCAGGGTCTATTTCACCACCGGGTCTATTTCACCCCCGAGTCTATTTCAAATCATATGCCAGCTCAAGGCTGTGTCAGGTCTATTTCACCCTCGAGTCTATTTCAACTCATATGTCAGCACAAGGCTGTACTGGGTCTATTTCACCCCACATACATATAGCAAACAGGCACACATGCATACATCACATACAGCAGGAGTCACAAAGACTACATGCACATCACATATCCTAGTGTCCTACAGTATAGTGAACAAACTCACCTCAGTTTGCTCTCAGTCAATAGATACTCGAGCTATTGAACCAGAGAATCCCCGCACTAACCATTCAAACAAAACCCCAATTAATAATTGGGTCATAATCCATAACCGGGAATCTAGTTCATTGGTGCAACACCCAGGGTAAAAGGCCATTTTACCCTTTCCTCACTTAGCCCAATATCCGAGGCCCAAACTCAATGGCACTAAAAGCCCAATAGTGGCCTAATTTCCTAAGGGTTACCTAAAGCCATAAATGGGCCCAAATCCAAAAGGCCCAAAGCTTAACAATGGCCCAAAGTCAGAAAGGACAGTGGCCCAACAATGCCTAAAACCTTAATAGTCCAAATATGGCCCAAAACCACAAAGCCCAAGACTAGGCCTGGTACGCTGCATGTACCAGACGTACGCCCAGCGTACTAGGTCGCATGCCTGATCGGGGATTCGAACGCGTACGCCCAGCGTACACATACATTAAGCACTTTTTCCTTTAAGGACTTAATGCTTGCAACCAGACGTCTAAACTTCAGATCTAATCCTTGTGGAACGTCTTAGTTCATAAAGTCATCAATTTGGAGCCTTTGCATGGTTCAAATGAACTCAGACCCTAGATTTAGCATTCTACTTCCCAAATGGACATAAACACATGCATGGTTGATCCACAACCATCAAGATGCTAACTTTATTGGCTAGGGACCTCAGAAACATCAAGAGAAGCAAGTCCTAACTTCTGGAGTGGAAGGATTCCCACTATATCTCATTCATGGGACCAAAAATGACCAAAAATCCATAAAGACTAGATCTAAGCATATAATGAGCAAGTTCCAAGCTTTATGCCTCAATCAAGCTGGAAATGATGAGTGAAATCTGGATCTACAAGCTCTCCCTTTGATCAAAGCTCCTTCTTCAAAGCTCTTCTTCCTCAAATCTCATCAACCCACAATAAAGCACACACAAAGAGGGTCAAATCTTCTATACAGAGGCTAGGGTTTCGAAATGAGGCTCAAAGGGTAATGGAGGCTGAGAAATGGGGGGGATCATGGGTCATAATGTTGTTTAAATAGGGTCCAAACCCTAAAAATTAGGGTTTGTCTCTTGGTGCGTACGTCCAGTGTACGAGGAGTATGCCCAGCGTACTCCCACATTTCTGAAAATGGCAACAATGCCCCCTAGTTACCAAATTTTCCAATTATTTACACACCAAGGGTCAAAAATGAAAGTACCTTATATCGGGTGTTACAGATGCATATCTTTGGTATCTTCAATTTATCTATGATAATTGAATCACCGTATATCATTGGGGTTTATCATTAGCACCAAGGTCGTATCAATGGGTGGGGTAGCATGAGTGATGGCCCATGGCCTCCAATTTCTAGTGCCCATTGTTTATGTATATACTTATATTATTATACAAAAAAGTGTTTGGTATTAAGTCAGGCAACAACGAAAAAGGAAAAACGAGATTGGAGCCAAAATTGTTGTAGAAGACGAAAAATTCTAACCGATTCTTCAGGAATCTAAACAGTTAATCATTTTATTTTTACTTTAAAAAGTTACTGTTAAGGGTCTCATTTTTTTTTTATTTTGCCTAGGGTCTCAAATAAGCTTGAATCGGCATCGATTAACACACAAACTTTGTTAGATTTTAGGAAGTCTTTTTAGGATTTTCCTATATATTCGGGCTGCTTATTCCGATATAACAATCAAATTTCATTGTTATTAGACCATTGCAATTGATTTAGAGTATTCTTTAATCTTAACAACTATCTTTTCGATTTGGGTATTACAGGAAACAAAATTGTAATAATCGTGTAGACTCTAATTAGGAGTTTGGTTTAGAGGATTGTGAGGCGTTTTGGAGAGCCATTAGGAGTGATTCATAATATTCTTTCACCTTAGCAATTTTATTTTCAGTTTGGGTGTTACGGAAAGCAAAAGTTTTAATAATTCGTTGTGGGTTCTTGTTAGGAATTAGTTTTAGCGGATTATGTGGAGTTTTTAAAAGCCATTAGGAGTAATTTGTTGATGATATTAAACCGTATTAATTGATGCTTTAGATTTAATGCTTGTAAGTTGTAATTGCTCATTTCGGTTCTCATATGGAATGAAAAACTTCATCGTATCGATGGATCAAAAGCCATCTTCAAATATTGAATATAAATGTTTTGTTTTGATTTAATTTTATGTAAACCATGGATGAAAATGTGTTTTGTACCATAATACAATTTAACCGGACTTGCATACACAAATCATCTAACAAAACTAATTATTTTACATTCGGCTTGGCTTAATTTACATGATTTATAGAAATGAAATTTCACAATGGTCCAATTATTATATTCTATGTAACCTAAATAATATAAAGAGCTACATGAATGTTGTTTGCTTTGATTGGATTCAATATTAAAACACCAAATTGAACCACATAATTTGGAATTTATAAAACTTAAAGGTGAAGAAAGAGATGTGAATAAGAAGGTGAACAATCATTGCACCAATTCTCAAAAGTAGTTATACAAATCAACATACACATTGCATATTTTTTGTTAGAATTTGTATAATGATTGCTTATATAATCTTTCTCACAATATAACAAGAAACATCAAATAACGGTATAACAAGGATCAAAAAGGGAAATATTATAGCTCGACTTTTACATGTACCCGCTACTTTCTTGTGTCGTAATTTTCTGCTAAGAAACTTTTAACCGCTTCATTAGCCTTTTGAGGTTCCGCTCTTTCTGCTTGCTTCTTCTTCTCCCTAAAAAAAACAATACAATGTCAGAATATACAAAAAATACACATGAAATGAACAATTAAATTGTTTCAAAAAAGTAAATCAATTATTTACCTCGCAACGTATTCTTTTAGAAGCTCTTTCGCTTGAACAAGCTTTGAGAGGAGATTACGGTATACATCAAGATCCCTATCAACACTTCTTTTGTTGATATTAAGTGCTGCACAAAGCTGGTACCCAAACAGACATAAAATTAGGAATTGTTTCTTTTTTTACTTTATCTATTACCTCTTTTTTTTTTACCATGAGTTTTTTTATTACCTTTTCCAAAACAGTGGGGTCTGTTGCATTTGCTAATTCAAGAAGGCGAAACAAGCCAACAGCAAAGAATCGACTGTAGCTGAAACTTCCATTACCCCCTGCTCTTTCTGCAATATCCTTCAACAAGTCCTCAATTTCTCCTGATTTAGATGAAAAATCAACCAATGAACTAGAGTTTTGGGCACGAGCCCACGTTTCCAATCTCTCTGCATCAGCCCTAATGGTAGAGAAAGAATTGTTCATATGAATGTTACGCTTTTATGTCAGATGAACAATGGATGAACACAAGATTAAAAGAAAAAATATATATTGGTGGGAATTCAGTGACAAGCCTGTATTGTTGTGGGTCTTCGTTTAGGGCATTGATATAGGATTGGAAGATGGCTTCTCGATCTTCATCACTTGGGTATCCTTCCATGAGTTGATCATAAACAGTAACAAAGCCCAAAGCGAACACTGGATCATATCTATAGGTCTTTTTGTATCGCATTAGATGTTGTTGTACAATTAGTTCTTGCAGCACACTGTTGTAGATGCTTGGTATTGGGCGTTTGTAAGCTTTGAGGAATTTTAATTTTGTCTCAGAGACTGGTGGTGCTTCTGAAGGGAAAACGAAAACCTATTGTCAGATTAATAGAACTTATTTGTCAATCTTTTCTACAAATTGAAGGAAGCTTGTATCAATTTTCAGGTGAAAAGTTACTCCATTTGAACAGAAGATTAGGTAGGTGTTTATTAGAAAAGCAATGCATCAGTAACTCATCGAACAAACAACTAATAACTAATATGTTAAGTCAGATTACTGGGTAAGGTGCAGTTATCTTCGATTAAAATCTCCTACATTGCTAACGCATCGAAAATTTGATAAATTATAAGCATTAGAACTTGCCTGATCCTGTAGACATGCAGTGAACTGCAAAGCGAGAACTCGATTTCGAAGGACGAATGCTTATGGAACGAAATGAGAAGGTTGTACGAACCCTAATCGAATCGAAATTTGAAACAGAAGAGCGAGATGGAGATGGAGATGGGAGACAGATTTTTCTTTCGGATGATGATTGAGTGACTCCGTGGAAAGAAATTGAAGCAATAGCCGCCATTATTATGAAAAATGCAGGATGGGATTACGAAATTTGAAGGATGCCCAGATGAAATTAGGTCATAAATTGAAAAGGGAATCCATTCAAAACTAGAATTAGCAAAGAGAGAGTGGAGAGAAGTTGAAATTGGGGGAAATTGGAAAGGGCAAAGGGCTCAAGTGAGGTCGAAAATGTAAGGCTTATCTGTTATCTTCAGCAGGATGAGTTGTGAGTAATCTGACTTGTAGCCAGTAGCGATTAAACACGTTAGATTGGTTTGATGGTGACGTCACCTGTTTCTTGTTCTCACAAACAATCTTGATTTTTGATGTGAAGAAACTAACAAAAAGTCAAATTATTGACGAATCGACATACATGGGTACAATAGCACCAATGACTCTCTTTTTACCGTGTACTCTATGCTTACTTGGGTCAAGCAAAAAAACAAAATGCACTTTGTTTTCACTCCAAGGAATGGCTAAACCAAATATCCAACTTAGATTTTTTTTTTCATAGAAAAACACAAAAATAAATAAATCCTACATAGTTCCAAGATTATAAGGCATGCAGGAGTGGTAGCATGCAGGAGTGGTAGCATGCATTAACATGCGCTAAAACATTGTTACATCAAATTATTATGGACACGTAACTATAGTTTGATGATATGGAGTGATGATGTGTTTAAAATATAAACATTTTTTTTTCTTAAATCAAATAAATGTTTATTTAAATATTTAATTAATATAAACTTTAACAAAGTACAAGTTGTTAAGCTGAAGTTTCAGTTATTTAAAGCTAAAACAATGAAATGGTCAAATGGGGACCACCTGTGTTCTTTTCCATCTTCTATTTTATCTCGCCAAGCACTTGGCGAGGCAATCTTGGCGACAAGCTTAGCGATTCATGGGGGACGGTGTAGCAATTGTTTAGTGAGGGTGGTGAGGCCTAGCGCCGGACACTCCCTCGAGTCTAAAATGCGGAAATAACCATTAATAAAAATAAATAATCATTATCTTCGCAACGACCTCTACAAAAATACAAAACAACATTGCTTTTTGTAGGGTTTATAGTATTTACTGGTGTTTTTTCTCGTGCCTTCTTGAGAAAACATCATCGTTTTCTATGAAACTATGGTGTTTTCTAAGCCTTTCTAAGAAAAACATCATATTTTCATGCGAAAACATGATATTTTCTCTTTTTGTTTAACGACTCTATCTATTTTTCTCGTATCTTAAGTAATCCAGTAAAAATGTCTATTCTTACATAGCATGAGAGGCATATATAATTTGAGTCATATGCTATGATACGTCATGACTGTGTCCGATGAGATTCCCTTTAATACCAATCTACAGTCATTACTTAATACTTAAAAAAAATACATCCAAAAACCACCACAATATTATGGTTATGTGATTACCCATCAACCTCATAGAACTCGATCTACAAGTTCGTGTTGGGGTCATATTGGATGACTCGCTTACTCCATTAGCTTATTTTCTCTAACAATTGGATGATGTCATTTTGGGAAAGAAAAAAAATGAAAGTTGGTTTCACATGAGAGACGATTCACCATATTAGCGAGTAGGCTTGTTTGCATGACTTCCTCATTCCCATGACCTGTTGTTAAATAAATGTGTTTGTATAATCATTTGTCATGTATCTAACTTCCTCAATGGAGGTTGTCAAGGGCAGCAAAAATAACTCAAATAATCTAACACATAAACTGTGTATAGTAGAATAAAGCATCAAATCTACAAATCATTTTTTATCTATGCAATCCATTCACAAAAATCAACTTTAAAATAATAGAAAAAGGGTTTATTTGGTTAAGTTCTAAACTATTCATAAAAAGTAATTTGTAAAATGAGTAAAATTCAACATGAAATAAATCAATAATGGAGAGGTAATCAATGTTGAATACTATCACAAGACCAACTAGTTAACTTATCATCACGGTTTATGGTGCAATATTTATAATTCATTCCAACTTGGCTATAGTAATTGAATTCAAAATCTTAAATCGCGTAGATCCTCCATAAATAGGGGGAAGTTAGAGAAACTGTTAACAATCCTTCTTAATCAAATTCATAAATCAAATAAGTATTTGTTTCATGTAAATCGACTATAATTATGGTTTGAGAATCACCAAATCAAAAATGCACTTATACTTTGGAGAATACAATCCTTTGATTTAAAATGAGATTATAAGCATCTACCTAAATCATTTGTTACTAGTTTGTTTTGAAAATCAATTATGTTATTTAGAAAACAAATAACCATAACCATTCAAGTATTTAAACTCATTATTAAAAACACAAAGAACAATTAAGAAATTTAAACAAAGATTTCATTCATAGATGTGCAATAGAAACTCAAAAACCATTCAAAATATAGCTAGTTGTGCATGGACATTTTACTCAGTGTTGATAAAGGAGAAGTTAGTCACATATGATCATAAAAAAGAAATAAATTTTACCAAGCATTAAATCCACAAGTTCACATGTAACGCCTGGTTCCGTGGTACGCAATTAAGTTAATTATTTATTTATTTTAAAAGAAGGACACGACGAGTTGGTGGCCTTAACTCGTCGAGTGGAGGGCAGAGTATGCGCGGGGTTTGAGCTACCTACTCGGCGAGTCGAGGTCCCTGACTCAGCGAGTAGCTCGGCCAGGGTGAAACCCTAATTTGGGGTTTTGCACCCTATTTAAGCATCTTAATCCCCACCCCTTGGCCTCATTTACAGCCTCCTTGTCCTAAACCCTAATCCACGAAACCCGTAGAGCATTTTGGGAGTGTGTGAGCCATCTTTGAGTGTTTTGTGTGTTCTTGAATCCTAGAAGAAGAAGAAGGAGCTTGAAGGTTCATGGAGAAGGTTATAGATCCAGGGATTTCGTTCCATTCTCATCACTTTTTGGTAATCAAGCTCTTAACTTGCCTTATAGTTCCTTAGATCTAATTATGGTCACTTTTATGGGGTTTTTGTCCAAGTAGCATGATTTATGAGTCATGATGTCCCAAGTTGATTATACTTTCAGATCTGGAGTCATTAAGGGTTGTAAAGGCATAAAGGTGCAAACTTTATGCCATTTGAGTCTCATGTAAACCCTAAGGAGGTTGCAATGGCCTTTTAAGCCCTAAAGGGGCCATGCATGGAAGCAAGCTCGAGACTTTACGTGGTTAACTGGTATCTAGGCCCTAGATCTAGGTTTTCCTGCTTTGGTTTGGGATACTAAGGCTTTTTGGACAAGATCCATGTCCTAAAGGAATTAGGGTTTTAGCTAAACCCTTCAAGAAGGGCTATCAATGGGTAAAGTTGGAAACTTTACCCTTAGAAAGGTCATTTCCAGTGAACAAGCGAAGTATGTGCTTTAGATCTAGAGAACCAGGGATTAATCTGTTAAGATGGCCAAACAGACAGAAGGACCCGTCGAGTCCATGAGAGAACTTAACGAGTCGGTTCGTGTTGTCCCATTTCAGTTTATGGTAGAATTCGACGAGTCTGTAGAGGGACTCGACGAGTGGATTCGCCAAGTCGCGACTATGAGCAGCTCGATAGAACTCGACGAGTCGGAGGAACGACTCGACGTGTTGAGTCGCGATTTCAGGATTTATGAGTTAAAAGAACTCGACGGGTTGAAAGGTTGACTCGACGAGTTGGTCAACTTAGAATGTTGACTTTGACCAGAGCATTGACTTTGACCAGGGGTAAAATGGTCATTTTACCCTTAGATGGATTTTCAGAATTCTGACTAAGTATTATTGTATAGAGTTAGCCGGGGAGTCGTGGGAGCAGCCAGCAGAGATTCCCCACGCACGAGTTCAGCATCCAGTTTGAGAGGTGAGTTTTCCTCCAGTAGGAACAGGTCGAAGGCACCAATGCCGACCCGTTTATGTATGATAGTATGTGTCGGGCTTCGTCCCGATGTCGGGGCTAACCCGATGTAGAGTATGTGTTCCGGACTTCGGTCCGATGTCGGGGCGGTCCCGAGAAGTATTTATGTATGCTTGATGTCTTTGTGATTCATGCATGTTATGTGTTATGTGTTCCAGGCCTAGGTCCGATGTCGGGGCAAGCCCGATGTATGTTATATGTTTATGTTATGTGTTTATGATATATGATATACAGTGTGTATGTCGGGGCAAGCCCGATGTTGGGGTAAGCCCAATGTCGGGGGAGGCCCGATGCCAGACGGAGTCTGATACCGGGGTGAGCCCGATGTCGGGCAGGAGTCTGATGTCGGGTTCGTCCCGATGCAGCTGGGCGGAGTCCCAAAGTTATGTTATATGTTATAGGTGATATGTTATGTGTATGGTATGTGGTAGTTTGGGGGAGCTCACTAAGCTTCATGCTTACAGTTTTTAGTTTTGGTTTCAAGTACTTCTGGTAGCAAAGGGAAGGGCTCGGGATGATCGCATGGCACACACCACAGTTTTCTAGCCTGGGATATTTCACTTTGATATTTGATATGATATTATGATACTTTGCAGTTATGATGATGTTTTTGAGATACATAGTTCGTGATGTTTACTTGATGTTGATATTTATGGTTTTAATAATGAATTAAAAACGAAATTTTTGGACCGTATTTTTGGGATGTTTCATCACAAGTTTTCAATCCTTCAATAGTTCTTCAAAAACCCTTCAAAACTTTATAGAATATGCTCCAAACCCCTATTCTACGATTTGGGAAAAGTACACGTATCATACCACAAATAACAGCCAAAACTTGAAATAACAAAATCACCCCTAAAGTCCCGACTTGGGCAGAGTAGTCTTGAAACACTTTTCTACTCGGACAGTGTGGCATCCATCAAAATTCAAGATATCTCTAAACTTGAATATATTAAAGTTGCATGTGTAGACACGACACATTCTAGACTTAGTAGTTAGAAGTTAAGTCATGATCTTAGAGGAACCCAGAAACGTTTAGAAACAAGGTCAAATATATTTAGTATTCACATTGGCATGTAAATTATCCAACTATTTTATATAATTCCCAAATTATAACCATGCAACTCA